CATTAATTATGTATATCGCGATAAATTTGTTCGATATTTTATAATATTATTTTTTTTTTAGCCATGTGTGATCGACTGTCAATGCAACATACAAGAACAAGAACTCGTCAATTCAGATGCTTCATGTGTGCCTCCGTTAAAGTGTTAGAAATTAATCGATATATTGAAGGATGTATTTTGCTGATGTATTTTGTTTAACACTTTATGATTCTTTGTTTCACTAACATTTTTGTAAAAATTTTAATTAAAAATCATGTATGTCAATATGACGGTATTAACATGTGTATTAGTTAATGTAATATAATTGTTGTTTGCTTATATATTTACTGATTAATAATAAATAAGCAGTTAAAAGTAATTAATATATTCGACTTTTTGTTAATGTTAAATATATACATTTTTGCTTTTTTAGCAAATTTCAAATTATTAAAAATAAGGTGTAACAAAGTTAAGTATACTTTTGTATTTTCTTGCAAAAAGCATTCTCAAATCTATATAATTCAAATCTATATACAATATATTTCTATAAATTTATAATTAAATATTATTGTATATTAGAAATAAAATAAAGTGAGAGTGGCAAAATAAATAAGAAGAAATAAAAATAATATATAAAAATTTAAACAAATTTATTTTTAATATTGTAGATTATAAATTTATTTATCAATTTCTATTTTCTGAATAAATTTGTACTAAATTCTCAGATATTGATTAAGTAATATCAATTTATATTTTTAATTATCTAATTAATTAAGTAATTAGCAATTTATTAATAGTATATTTCTGGCAAAATATTTTTATATGCAATTTGTTTTAGTGTTTTATTTACAAGATGTCAGAAAATTGTTTATCTTTTTAGATTTTGTTACATGCACATTTAGATTTTCTGGTTGTCATGTTAATCAAGTTAAACAAAAACAAAATTTATTTATTAATTTTATTATTTATGTTGTAAAAATATTATGTATTAAAAATATATAATTTATCTCTGACAATCTTTTTAATTATATAAATAAGAAATAATAAAATTGTATGTTAATGTGTACATGAATTATCTTTCGATAAAAAATTATTATCGCAATAAATCTTATTTTTTATGGATTATATAAATATTTTGCAAATAATTTAAGTCAACAACGCAAGCAAAAAACTTAGTAAATCTGTTAAATAAAAACGTTTGAATAAAAAATAAATTTTTTTTTCCACTTTTTATTCTTATATTTGTTCTCGCTATAATAATATTTTTACACTAACAACTTTAAAAATGTTAAATATGTATTAAATGTATACATTAAATGTATATTAAATGCAATAATTATAATAAAAGACTGTAATAAAAAATATTACAGAGTAAACTTATTTATGTGACGATAATAATAATTATAATCCAAATAAAATTCTTTAAATACTTGCTAAGCTTGCTTATTTAATTGTATTTATATGTTTTTAAGTATTTTTTAAGTATTATTACTAATTGACGATGGGAATAACTTGCACACGTTTTCAAAGGCATTATTATAACTAAAAAATTAAAAAATAATAATAAGTGTTTTAAAAGAAAGCAGTGCTTTAGAAGTAAATGCCGAAGGTATTATGTATGTAACAAATTAATATAAAAAGTAAAAATTAATATAAAAAGAGAATTTTATAAACAAACTGAATGTAAATGTTACAATGTTATTTAATTAAATAAATAAAAACCGTTTCAATCATTAAACTATCTTCAATATTAATAAAAAGTATGATACAACATTTAGAAGTTTTTTTTTAATTAACATAATCGTTAATAAAAATTTTTGGCCAAGAGTTTTGATAACACCATTACAGAAATGATTAATATCCATTTTTATCGTCAGGCAGGTGTTTGTCAAATGTAGTCAACAATGGTGAATCAAGAAAGTAAATCGGAGAAGAGGGAGATGGAAAATAACACTGGAAGGTAATGACAAAGATTATTATGAAAAGAATAATAAAGCAATTATTAGCAATTTAACATTGCAAAGTATCAAAGTCATATATATCAACATGTCTCATACTGTTTTTAAATATTAATTAATGATGATATATAACTGCTTTTTATTCTTTTTTTATTATGTTTAAAAATTATGTTATTATGTTTTTTATTATGTTTAAATGCACATTTTGACAATATAAAATATATCTAGAAAAAAGTGTTTTATATTAGTGAAAAGTTACAAACCTAATATTATAATAAAATTGATGAATAAAATAATGAGTGTTATTCTTACATTATACACAAAGAATGACCGCTTAATGCAATTATTATATAATTATTTAATATAATATATATTATTATATAA